GTTTTGCGAAATAAATATACTTTCTATCCTACCTCAGCATGCATGTCACACACTGTCACAGAGAACAATGTAAGATTGTTAATTTGATAACATCGAAAATAGGCACTTCATTACATTTAAGAGAGATAACTCTACTGGAACTAGACAGGGGTAAGAGATATCTAGTTACACCGGACACATTTTCAGTCATGTGTACCACATTTAAAAAAAAAATCTTAAAAAATACAAAATGTGATCTAGATATGAATTAACATAATTTCACATGTTGCTAAGAGGCTCAACTTTTTTTAAAGCCTAACAGAAAGTACAACTCTTACATAATGCACCAATCACAGCTAGTTTTGTCGTTTATTTCTGAATGTAATGTTCCCTACACCTTAAGTTCCGCCCACCTGGAGTTGTACAATTGGTACCGTTATACCTATAGCCAACCTTAATTTTTTTAATACCCTTTGATATAGCTTGGGACTGTACAAGTAACAAATGTACTTAGTCTCGCTTGTTAGAAACAATTTTATGAGGTACCTTAGCTGTGTTTTATATTAATGTGTATGTAATTGTCTTTGAACTTTTTCAGCTGCTGTTTTCATATGTGTGCTTTACTAACAAACCATATTTTTGGAATAAAATGATTTGTTTTAACTATGAGTTGTGTTTTATTCACATCAACACTTACTGAACTTCAGATGGGTGATATGGGATAAATCACGTCATATCATATTAATGTAATAATTAGGTCAAAGGTCAGTGTACTGAACAGTACATACCTCTTCTACTTCATTAAGTAACATTCACCTAAACTAAAGGACTTTATCTTTGTTTGGTAGATCCAGAACTTAACACCAGAGACAGGTGGACATGAACCAATCTTATTTTAAAGTATAAGCAACCAACACTTTACACTGTCTACAGATACATGAGGTCACTAACCTCCAGTCCTCATACTAAGGTCAACCTACCCATCCTCTTGGTAATACAGGAGGAAAGTGTGTATCTAAAAGAGAGCTGTAACTTATCATAAAGGAATTAAAGGAGACAAAAGCAGCAATGAGGAAAATGAAAAGCAAAAGTTTCATGACCTTACCTTGGACAAATATATGGAGGCAGTACACCATTGGTCCAAGAACAGTCCGAAGGCACCTCTGATACAATATCTATCACATGCAATGAAATTTCAAGTGAAGTGGTGTTCATTCCCATCTAATACATAAGGGTGAGTAAGTTAGAAGATATAGATGCATATAATTTACATTTCTTTTATATAAGAAATTAACAGAAATTGGCTAAACTTATGCAGAAAAATACCTAAACCAAACAAAACATCACTTATCTGGTTTTAAACGTGTAAAAGTTACTGTGAGAAATTATTAAATTGCTTCTACTTATAGTTTTATCAAGACTGAGGGCTAATATGGTATTTCACAAATCTTCTCTTTATTTTTATAACCAATCACTGAAAATGTAAGTTTTTTGTATTGAATTGTTATATCTGGTGTATACATAAGGTGTGGTCATTTTATTTCCTCAAATATATTATCTATGTAATAGAGATGGCATTATTAACACATGTATTAACAATACAATTTAATTATCCCAAGAAATACAGTATTGATAAGTGGGAACCTAATATTCAGGCTTCTGTATGTAATGGAGTTTTCAAGAGTGATGTAATATTGTTCTCTAAGGTGAGGCGGCTTATTTGATTTCATGTTGTCTACAATGCCAACATGTGGAGTACAGCCTTCCATAGACATGCGGATATGATCCCATGCCAATTGGATTCTTGCCATGGCATGCAAAGTTTGAATAACAGTGATTACTTGAATGGAAGGAATGGGCAATATGTGACTAATATGGTTACCACTCAATAATGTTGGACCTGTTGTTTTAATTTGCATGATTTATAATATTTGACAGGTAAAATAGTCAATATTTGGCCAAAATCTACTATAATATGTTTACATAACTTACCTTGCTGCATCTCATCTTGCCAATCTTGGAGCTGACAACACAAAAATGAAACCATCACCATCAGGCAATATAAGTCTATGTCTGTCATATCAAAAGCCCCAATCCTAAGTAAACTTGTGCTATTTTCTTAAGATTTCATACATTTTATTCTTAAAAGATTGCCAATATTTGACCAGAAATGTTCAGCATACATTAGTTTTCCTACAACAAACTAGTACAGTTCATAAATGCCGCCAACATGAATGCGTTTCTATGGATACACTGGGAGGCTGTTCTTCCCTTTAGGTATCACGGTACCAATTGCTTTTCCATAGACCGCAATGCTAATGTTTTGCGAAATAAATATACTTTCTATCCTTCCTCAGCATGCATGTCACACACTGTCACAGAGAACAATGTTAGATTGTTAATTTGATAACATCGAAAATAGGTACTTCATTGCATTTAAGAGAGATAATTCTACTGGAACTAGACAGGGGTAAGGGATATCTAGTTACACCGGACACATTTTCAGTCATGTTTACCACATTTTAAAAAAAATCTTAAAAAATACAAAATGTGATCCAGATATGAATTAACATAATTTCACATGTTGCCAAGAGGCTCAACTTTTTTTGAAGCCTAACAGAAAGTACAACTCTTACATAATGCACCAACCACAGCTAGTTTTGTCGTTTATTTCTGAATGCAATGTTTCCTACACCTTAAGCTCCGCCCACCTGGGGTTGTACAATTGGTACCGTTATACCATTAATCCATGCCCAACAACATCGTTGCCGATGTTGATGTACTAGAAATTCGTAGTGGCGGAAGACTAACCGGTGTAGTATTAAATTTTGACTCCGTTGAATTCAGGCCCCGCCTTGTCTACTTTCAACGATGAAAGTTGACCCAGGGTCAGTTCTTGACTTTGAATTTTGATTTCTCAGTAGTTGAAAACTGATCTAAGCGTTGAATTTTGATCCGATATCTGGGTCATTTTTTAATGAATATTGTTTAAATTCCGCATACGTGATTTTGGGAACATTAAAAATATGCATAGCATGTATAAATAAATGTAATGCAGTACATGCAGTAATGAAAATATAGATATACTTATCTTCCTTATTTGAAATAGATATAATGCAGTTTTGTTTGTACTGCGTCTGCTGCATTTCATCAAACATATAAGAAGAACCCAGACCAACTATGTTTGACGATTGAACCCAAATTGTTCAACAATCAATGAGCCTATTCGAGCTTTAGCTAAACAATATCCACGCAGAAAAGCTGTGCATTGCACCTGTTGTCGTCCTTTGTCACGACAGGGTTGAGACGCTAAACAACTTTCACATTTCCATCCACAATGCTTGTGATGTTCTATATAGTTATCGCCAGTCATATTTTCACAGTAATATCTGCAACCCAGGAATGGGACGATACTGGTAATAGCATCGAAGTGTTCATCGTGATGATAGACGTGAATGTATTTTCCGTCTTTGAAATCTCTTCCTCGAAACAACAGAGGTCCACGCACGTCCTGAGATGCACTTTCAATATGTAGCGTTAGAGTTAAAACTTCTCGCAATTTTTGCATTTCAGGAATGCCACATGGTCAGTGTCTGTCTGTCTGTCTGTCTGACTGTCTGTCTGTCTGTCTCTCTCTCTCTCAAACACACGCACAGTGACTTGTCACTTGAAATTTGGCCATTGTTTTATTCTAATTAGGTATTATGCACACTTTGATTAAATGGACACATTGGCTTTAGCTTTGGTGCCCCTTTAAGGAAAGTCAGTGACCGTTTGCAATTTTGGAACCCACACCACCCTATCAAACCCCTGACCTACTCCTGCACCGATTGCCAATACCTTTGGGACCAGGAAAAATTTGAGTGTCAAATAATGTTCAGCAAAACCCACCATGGAAAATGACTTTAAATTAAAAAAAAAAGGTTTTGTCTTCATCTATACTTATTCCTCCAAATTTAGAATATATTCAGATCCTGCTGACGTCGGATAAATGCCTAGTTTAATGTTTTCTATGTGCTTTCTAGGATAAACTGTGCCAATTCAGACCTACCATATTCTTTCCATGATACCTCAAATTAGCACACACATACACACACACAAGCACTCACACACATTATAACTTATTTATATGCATATGCAATCACAATAATCTCAAAAAAGTAAATGTAACAAACTAACAGAAATACACTCTTCAAGGAATAAAACTTTAAAAGTCATGGAGCGATCACCTAACAGGTGTTTCTTCTGATTTTGCAACCGGAATTCATATATCCAAACTCGCTAACCGCTTACACCACAGAGACCTGATAACCATTCTATCGTGGTCAATAATTGTGTTCCTCTATAGTCGATTTGACCGGTTTAATCAGGACAAGGTAATGGCGAGACCTCGTGAATAGTATCTCAATGGAGCTGTGAGAAAGTGATAAAATAAAAAAATTGGTTCTATAGGCAATATAGATTTCACTCCAGAGAAACAGACAATTGGTAGTGATGAAAAAAAATGACATACACATAAAGCACTTTCTTGAGTTTACAAATTTCACTGGACCATAATATAAACCAAGTAAATAATGGATATACAGATCATATAGACAATTTGTATATAATTAAAAACGAGGAGACAATTTTCTTTCAGCCATCTAGGTACTTTGGATAACTTCTCGCCTCGAATAACTAAGACTTATGTCCACTTTGGATATCTATCTCAAATTTTCCGTTGTGATGCATATGTACTGTATGTTTTGGTTGAGTGTGATTTTCACGAGTCAAATTGCTTAATAATCATATTTGTATTTAATGGTGTGTGATATTATGAGTGCCGAAACATGGTTTCATCAAGTTTTCCACTTCATACAAGTCTTCTTGCTTGGAATTAGTCTGAAAGTAATGTGAATATAATATCTGCTTTTTAATGATTGTATAATAATGCAGTAAAAATTTCTTGAACAAATATGTCCATATGTTATACTAGCCAAACCATGTAAGACCGGATTGATGATGTGCAAAATATTAGTAACCGACCCTGGGTGGGATCGCACCACTAACCTTTCGGTTAACAGTCGAACGCTCTAACCAATTGCGCCAAAGAGACATGGAAGACAATATCTTCTGGTGAGTAATTGTTTGGCTCTAGATTCGAAATGACCGGTTTTATCAGGACTAGGTAATGTTGAGACGTCGTATAATGTTTCTCAATGGAGTTAGAGAAAGTGGTACAATGACAGAAATTGCTATCGTCAGTAATCTATAATTTACTCCAGACGGTCAGCCAATCGGTAGTGAAGTGCATGAAGACATAAACATACATCAATTTCTAGAGTTTAAAAATTTCAGTGGGCCATGGTATAAACCATGCAAATAACATATACAGATCATGCAGAAAATGGTGCATGATTCAATGAAATATGTCTTCATTCAGCACATATGCATTTTATCGCTCTTCTCGCCTCGAATACCATGGATTTGTCTAAGCAGGATAAATCTATTTATTATTCAGTTTTATTCATATGCCTTGTATATTTGTCCTGAGAGTATTTTCATGGCTGAAATTGAGTGATAATTGTATTAAAAGTTAATGGTGTGTTATATCATGTCCGATATTCATTTCATTTCATTTGATTCTATCACTGCATTAAGTAAAACGGTCTTCTTGTTGCTTGGCAGTAATGTGAATGTAATATGAAAGTAACATTAGAATGCAATATTGTACAATAATGAACTAAAACTGTTTTAAACAAATAGGTTAAAATATTATGCTTGGATTTTGATTATGAATATGGTAGACATACGATGAAAGACACGAATGATGAATACAAAATACTAGTAATCGTCCATTAGTTGGCTCGAACCACCAACATTTCGGTTAACAACCGAATGGGCCAAACGATTGCGCCACAGAGACCTGAAAACAGTAAGCTTGGTCAGTAATTGCTCGGTTCTATGTTCAAAATAACCATTTTCTTTAGGATTAGATAATGGTGACTCCTTGTTAACATTTTCTAATTTAACTACGAGAAAGAGACATTATGTTGAAAGAGCCTCGTGTCAGCAAGATAGATTTCGCTGTATGGAAATTGATGAGGATTGATGTTCACGTTGGCTATATCTATCTAAGAAAAATTCGATCTTATTTATACGCCTTGCAGATTGTTCAGATGATTTCGTTTTGACAATGTACATATCGTAATGATCATGTTGGAATGTAAATAGTATGTGATATTATATCTGGCCATACAAATGTATCCATGCTCTCAATGCAATAAGTAAAAAAAAATTCTTTTTGCTTCGCGGAAGTCTTAACATAATGCCAAAGTAAGACTTTTTATTTATACGTTTTTGATACAAGTTACAAATTAAAAGTAAATAGTCTATACCACCACAACTAATGCTGCTGCTGATGCTACTACTACTTCTACTACTAATGCTGCTATTAATAATAATAATAAAAATAACAATAATAACAATATTAATATTAATACTACTACTACTACTAATGATAATAATAATAATGATAATGATAATGATGATAATGAACTTTCTTTAACGAGGAAAACATCTTTTTATGACTGATCCATCTTCCACGTGGTCCTCTGCTTTTTAATTGGCTATGTTAAAACATATTCATGATCATACAGATAATAAAATGTCGTCACACTCATTCATATATATTTAACATGAATGTCTTTGTGTGACTATACTGAGAAACATATACACCTATGAACAGTATTCGATACACAGGTAGATACATTTCTGAATACGTAATACATATTATGAATATGTAATATGATTTTGACTTATTTTTATGGATAAAGTGATAATGTTTTATATTTAGAGCCTTGAATCTGTCATTGCAACTGGTCAAGAAAAATATTTCTTTAATCGTATTGTAAAACAAAGCCAGCGAATTTGAATTACATATCTTCAGTGTTAAGGAATTCTATACTGATACAGAAAAAGAGCTTTTGTAATGTTTGTTTTATGACCAAGGAATCTGGAAATCGCTGTTAGTCGTCGTTTGGAGATTACGCTCAGTATTTGCTGATCTTAGTTCAGTTAGGTTGGAGATACAATCCGGAGATAGATCATTTAAAGACATATACGGAATTTGTGTAGTAATATTGCAAAATGTTATGTCTACACCGCTAAAGCAGATTTCTTCCGATCTGTTTGTATCAATGGATTATGAATATAAACTGCAGTGATCAAATGATATCAAAGTGAAACCTTAAAAATGTTGGTGATGTCATCTATTCGTTTGTTATGTGGACTCAGTTGTAAGTATTATATGTGTGTGAGTGATAGCGTCCATTTTATGCCCTGTTTGGGAATAACTTTAAGAACCATGCTTCTGATATGAGTACTTTGAAGCTTTGATTGAATTGTTGAGGCTGCGACATTGTATCTTGTAGGACCTGGCTAACGATTTTAGTTTGAAAGGAGGTTTTACAAATGTGCAGAAATAGGAAAATCAGAAGCACTTTAGATTGTATTAATTGTACAAGTGTATTTAGAACATCTAAACTTCTACAAAGGAATATTATCTTTTTGTTCCGAAAAGATATTTTAGATCTATTAACTATTAAGCTGAATAAAATAAGTTTAAAAATATAAACGTGTTTATCCTTTACTTCCGTATCAATGTTACTGCTCTCTCTCTCTCTCTCTCTCTCTCTCTCTCTCTCTCTCTCTCTCTCTCTCTCTCTCTCTCTCTCTCTCTCTCTCTCTCTGTGTGACCACGCATGAAATCTAGAATACGGATTTTGAGTTCCGCTTCTTAAGTCATTGAAGATTGTTAGATTTTAAACGAGCTTATAACAAAAAAAAAAAACATTTCAGGAGCAAATACAACAAAATAGATCTGGATGAAAGTATAATGCACATTTAATCAACTCATAAAGCAGTAATGACTTTGATGAAAGTAAAATATACATTTTATCAGCCCATCAAATAATATAGACATAGACAAAAACATAATGTACATTTTATAGGCCATAAAACAATGAAGACTTTATGTTAGCAAAATGTACATTTTATCAGCCCATGAAACAATGTAGACTTTGATGTTAGCATATTGTACATTTAATGGGCCCATATAACAATGTAGACTTCGATCTTAGCATAATGTACATTTAATCGGCCCATAAAACAATAAAGACTTCAATGAAAGAATAATGTACATTTAATCGGCCCATAAGACAATGTAGACTTCGATGTTAGCATAATGTATATTTTATCGGCCCATATAACAATGTAGACTTCGATCTTAGCATAATGTACATTTAATCGGCCCAGAAACAATATAGCCCTGGCTGAAATTATAATGTACATATAATGAAGCAAAAATCCCAACAATATGAAGAATGTTATCGTCATTTAGACATCTAATTGTAATGCATCAAATGTCATTGTGTTCCTTGCTTGGTGGAAGAAATTTTGATTTTTTCGACGTATTATCTCCGTTTTCTTTAAAGTAAATTGTTTATAAAGTGATGCTAAATTATCTGAGTTACTATCAACTAATAAACCCGATTTACAACAACAAACTCAAACACTGATAATGTAATTTAATGTGCAGCTGATTGTCTCCTTTTTGATCTACCAAAGTGGAAATGAATTATATAAAATATGTTCAACACTGTAGCAAGAACTATTCTCATTTGGAGCTTTGTAAGAACATATTGCTTTATTTTCTTTATTCAACCGTACTAAATCAATGCAAGACAAATATATTTATCAAATATGTTTCCCTTTTATCCTTGCTGCTTATCCACGAACATGCCCTTCAAATGATACGGGACAACTAATCAAGGGCAAAATAATATATATGCTCAAAATAACCACTTTCTTTAGGACTAGATAATGGTGACTCCTTGCAACTTTTTCTGATTCAACTACGAGAAAGAAACACTATGTTGAAAAAGCAGAGCGACAGCAATATAGATTTCGCTGTATGCAAATTGATGAGGATTGATGTTCACGTTGGCTATATCTATCTTAAAAAAAATTCGATCTTATTTATACGCCTTATAGATTGTACCGAGGGTTTCCTGTTCACCGTTTATATATCGTAATGATCATAATGGAATGTAATAGTATGTGAAATTATATCTGGCCATACAAATGTATCTATGCTCTCAATGCAATAAATAAAAAATACTTCTTTTTGCTTGGCAGTAGTCTAAACATAATGCCAAAATAAGAATTTTTATTTATACGCTTTCAATGCAAGTTACAAATTAAAAGTAAATAGTCTATACCACCACAACTAATGTTGATGCTGATGCTACTACTACTTCTACTTATGCTAATAATAATAATAATAATAATAATAATAATAATAATAATAATAATAATATTATTATTATTATTATTATTATTATTATTATTATTATTATTATTATTAATGAATTTTCTTTAACGAGGAAAATATCTCTTTATGACTGTTCCATCTTCCACGTGGTCCTCTGCTTTTTAATTGGCTATGTTAAAAATATATTCATGATCATACAGATAATACAATGTCGTCACACTCTCATTCATATATATTGAACATGAATGTCTTTGAGTGAAATACTGAGAAACATATGCACTTATGAACAGTATTCGATACACAGGTAGATACATTTCTGAATAGGTACTACGTGTTATGAATATGTAATATGATTTGGACATATTTTTATGGATACAGTGATAATGTTTTCTATTCAGAGTTTTTAATCTTTTAATCTGTCATTCCAGATTTTCAACAAAAAATTTCTTTAATGATATTGTAAAAAACGCCAGGGAATTTGAATTACATATCCTCAGTGTTAAGGAATTCTATACTGATACAGAAAAAGAGCGTTTGTAATGTTTGGTTTATGACCAAGGAATCTGGAAATCGTTGTTAGTCGTCGATCGGAGATTACGCTCAGTATTTGCTGATCTTACTTCATTTAGGTTGGAGATACAATCTGGAGATAGATCATTTAAAGATATATACGGAATTTGTGTAGTAATATTACAAAATGTTATGTTTACACGCTAAAGCAGATTTCTTCCGATCTGTTTGTATCAATGGATTATGAATATAAACTGCATTGTGCAAATGAT